CTCGTGTGTGTACAGTCGCTTGAGTTTTGAACACATTCATCAAGTTTGTACCACAGTTTTTTTTAAATAAGTCCCAAAGTTATCATGAGTATCTTCAACCTGCCAGTGAGGGTACAAAGCCAGCTGAGGTGGGAAATTAAATAATGTGCAAGGCCAAGAATACATTTCTGCAAGCTCCACAGATGAAGTTGTGATTTTTTAAAAACTGGCTGCTCAAAAGACGACTCAATGGTCACTTGGTTGCAACTTGGTCGTGTTGTTGGAATCAAAATAAGCAGCAAGTTTGATTATGAGTGAAAATCTGCTAATTTTTTCTCAGTTTATTGTCTCCAACAGTCAGATCATATGAGCTGATGAGGTGAATGCTACAAACTACTTTTAATGTCGTTGCATGTTTACATTTTTTATAAACTGGTTTTTCTGCCAAGTTTTGCTGTTTTAAAGTGCTCTCACCATGCAGTTTTAGGTCAGTCATCTCTTTCTTTGCCTTCGTTCTTGTCCCTCGTTGGTCCTCTTCCCATCCCTCTCATCCTCGTCCTCTTCCTGTCCGTGGTGCAACATGGCATTGGCTTGTTTTTTTAAACGGGTCGAGCCCCGGTGTGACCGTCTCACTGCCCCCTACGCTTCAAGCACAAGCACTTAAAGCACTTTAGCTGCGCTGCCACTCCACGATGCATGCAGTTAAAGACATTTGGACCGACCCGCTCCTGCACACCTGTCCTGGGAGGTCATGTCAGACGCAACTGCGTGATGATGTAAAACGATAAACCCACCAGGACGGCAAATTTAGCAAAAAAAATAAAAATAAAAAAAATTCCCCCCTTTGGTGCAGCTGTTGGTGTTTGTGTTTCGCGCTCATTCGATCGCACACCAACAGATCTCCACGCAAATATGAATTCACACAAATGGGGCGGAGCTTCCTGCCCAATGCTCTCGCACATCCTGTGTAAAGACTTGAAACGCGGAGAGCCCCGGCAGGAGAACACCTACCCAGTAGCTCGGCAGCACCGGATCGGCTCAGACAGCCAGCCTGTTGGTGCTGAACGCCACCGACTCAAAAACTTGATTTAAGGGAGGAACATACATAAAATATGTTTAAGCTATTCCCTCCCTCATATTTTTACGTGTGTCTTTTTATATATTATTATTATTATTGTTATTAGTAGTATTTTCTGGCCAGCTTTACGTCTGACCGGACATCATGTACAGAACTTAAAAAGAAAAATTATTTATCTATGAAAGAAATATAAGCTGATCAACTTAGATTTTTCTTCATTGATTGCACAGAGATGAATATGATTCAGCGTATTTTTGGGGAATATAATCACTAATGAATGTTTTGTTTTTCCTTCTGTTGGCGCCCTGAAGGCGACTTTAGGCATCTCAGTCGGTCCCTTCTCTCCGTGCACAACCTGCCATCATGTTTCAGTCTGTTAGGGCTTTTTCTTCTGTAAATCTTTATTTTATTTAAAAAAAACCTCTCTCTTTCTGTTCACGGGTATTCTGTTTTATTCCTCTTCGTACAAGCTACAAATCATAAAGCTCGTGTTTTCTCCAAGAAAAGGAAAATGATTCTGAATCAAAATATATTTGTATTTAATGTCTTTTTTTTAAATAAAAAGTGAACACATTTCGAAGTTCCTTTGTTGTTTCTGGATGAATTCTTGCCCCTTCGGTCTTGGAATGTGTCAATAAGAATGAAGTGAAGATTCAGTTTGAAACGAATAAAAATAAATCAGGTGGTGCCAGGCAGGCTGGCAGCGGGGGGCACGAGGGGTTGAGGTGCATTCCTGTGCCCGACCAAGGCAAACAGAGAGTGGGTCAAAAGGCAGTGCAGAGCCGTACGAGCTAAAGTTAGTCGACAACGTGCGCTTTAGGTCTCCGCGATAACAAGACTCCAGATGTTGGACATCACAACACACTTTGAGTCCACCTTCCCCAGGTTTTAGGGTTTTATACTGAAACTGGTAAATATGGTTCACTTTATGGAACTGAGTGAATCTGAGTCAATCAGTCAATCAAATAACCCCGGTTCACTTGAGTCGTTCACACAGCACATCTGCAGTATTTCCAGAGGGCTAATAACCTGGTACAGCATCTGAGTCTGAGACATTTCCAGCAGATAACCGGAGCAGAGACCCAAGTCTGAGACATTTCGGGTAGATATTAACTGGAGCAGAGACCCGAGTTTGAGACATTTCGGGTAGATATTAACTGGAGCAGAGACTCGAGTTTGAGACATTTCTGGTAGATATTAACTGGAGCAGAGACCCGAGTCTGAGACATTTCTGGTAGATATTAACCGGAGCAGAGACCCGAGTTTGAGACATTTCGGGTAGATATTAACCGGAGCAGAGACCCGAGTTTGAGACATTTCGGGTAGATATTAAC